GTGTTATGGAAATTTGGGAGGGATGGCAGTTTGAACCTCCCACAGCTATTGCAGGCGAGGTGAGCCATTCATTGCATTCTCAGTTTCCAAAGAATGTTTTTAATGAGCACTGTGGCCATATGAGAAGGAGATTTTTTTCCCATCAGTAAGCTATACTGATGAAATGCAGGTATCGAGACTGAACTTTCTTTTCACAGGTGAGCTTCGCTGGTGCAGGATTATTTGCTAAGAAGTTTTTTGTGTTTTTTTGGCAAAGTTTGAGATGAGCTCCTTTGGTGCCTTACAGTTGGATTGGAAACTGTGATAAAGGGGCAATGCCGATTTGACATAAGAAGTGCGATGCTGTGCCAGGTCAGTCACTCATTGGATCAATATTTTGTGGATGTCTGTTTGATATCTTTGGGAAGTTTAAGATGACGGTGGTTCCCATTCTCTCTTGTTAATTACCAGAGTTTGGTAGACAGAAGTGTACTGTTTCTGAATATGTGGGTTGTGTGTTAGGTTGTCACAGAAAGCAACTGCCAATACACCTGTCCTCCAGGAATACATACTAATTTTGGGGGGTTTTTTTGTATTTTTAAAATAAATGTTATTACCATTTTGTGTACAAATCAACATATCCAATAGGAAGGTCAAGATACAAACAAAGCTGTTACCAACCATAACTAACAATGTTACAAAACTGAGTAGTCATCAGTTATACAATAATATTTAACATTGCTAAGAGTTTCCCAGTCAAACTTGTCAAAATTGATTTTGTCTAGTAGAGGATACCAATCATGGAGTGGACTTCTTAAGTCACATTCTGTTTGGGTCTCCGAGTGAAATGTGTTAAAATTCTCTAACAGAAATAGGTCCCACACCTTATGTAACCAATTCTGTATACATGGGGGATTGGGGTCCTTCCAGCGTTTGGCTATAACTATTTTTGCCGCAGTAAGTAGAGTGCCGATCATTTTCATTGAGGAAAAAGTTGGTAAGTCAGAGGGCCATACATTTAACAACAGAAATGCTGGATCCTGTGGAATGTCATAGCCAGTTAGTTCCTTTATCTTCTGAATAACAAGAAGCCAAAATTTATTTATAACTGTACAGGTCCACCAGCAATGAATGTAGTTATATCTGCTAGTAGACATCAGTGTTCCCTTTAAGCTGAAGTTAGTGTTCGCTAGCTCACAGTTTTTTAGCCTCCGGCTCACACATTTTTGTCTTAGCTCAGGAAGGATGGGGCTCCAGAGGAAACTAATTTCTGAAGTAGCCAGATCGCTCGCTCACAACTTTAATGCCAGTAGCTCACAAAGTAGAACTTTTGCCCACAAGACCCCACAGCTTAGAGGGAGCATTGGTAGACAGCACATCATGTGGAAATGAGTTCCATAGCTTAAATATGGTGTATAGAGCTGCTACCTTTGTCTTAAATCTGTTGTTTCAGTAGATACTCCTGAGATTTTATGTTTTCCACAGTAGTTTATGGTTTTATAAATGATGTCCCTAAAAATCATGTATTATTTAAATCTTCTTACATGGTAGGGTACCCATTCCTCCTGATAATTTTAACAGACCATGGTGTAGTTGCTAAGAGCAGTGGACTCTAATCTGGAGAACCGGGTTTGATTCCCCACTCCTCCACGTGCAGCCTGCTGCGTGACCTTGGGCCAGACACAGTTCTCTCAAAACTCTCACAGCCTCACCTACGTCACAAGGTGCTGGTCGTGGGAAAGGAAGGGAAGGCGATAGTAAGCCACTTTGAGATTCCTTAAAGCAGAGAAAGCTGGGTATAAAAAACTTCTCTTCTTTTGTTGATCTTCTACTATTCTCTGACAACTGGTGTTATGGAAATTTGGGAGGGATGGCAGTTTGAACCTCCCGAAAGGCAGTCGGATTCGACTGCCTTTCGAGCAAGGGAACCTTTACCTTTAAACCTATGCCATTGGTTCTGGATGGGAGAAACACAAAGCAACGGCTAGGTGCATCATAAAAATATTATGATTTTTGTATTTCTTCCACGTCAACAAGCCATGATCCAAAAATCTTGCTTTGCCGAGCAGTTACAGTCAGTCAGAACTCATTAGTGCGCAGGGCTATAGGCAGCGGTGGGGCACCGAGGGTGGTGCCCCCTATTAAATCTGCAGTGCCCCCCAACAAGCCACAGCCCAGCCTGTAATGGGGAGAGGGGAGCGGCTGGTCTTTTCATCGGCCTCTCCTTCACAGCCAGTACTGGCGGTGGTTGCAGCAGCAATATTTCCCTCCTGGCCACTTCTGCTTCCTCCTCTTCCTCTGCCTTTCCTCTCCCCACCCCCAGGCACAGCTGGAATTCATCTGCTCCCTCCCCTGCCCTGCGGCATCCTGGGAGTTGAAGTTTTTTAGGCGCTAGTTCACATGCTGTTGGAGGAAGGCGAGCAAGCAAACCGGGGGGCGGGGGAGGCAACCTTTCTTTCCATGCCAGAGGAGAGTTCATTTTTGGAGCAGGGAAAAGGGGAGACTCCATCAGGTGGCATGGCTCAACAAAGAGGCTCGCAGGGCTGGAAAGACCAGGTCTCCCCAGGTGCTGTTGTGCCCCCCCTCCCACCTTATGGAATGGTCTTGCCTACATAGCGAGGAAGTCCCCTGCTTTTCCGCAAACTATGCAAAATGGCACAAAGGTTGGGTCCAGTGGCACCTTTAAGACCAACCAAGTTTAATTCTGCATATAAGCTTTTGTGTGCATACTTCTTCAGATACAGTGAAACAAGACAAGTGGATATCTTTAATTTAATTTAATTTACTTTAATTTAATTGGGGCTCCCTGAAAAATTCCTGGCTACAGGGCTGTCAGTGTGAGCATTTATTAGTTAGGATTTTTTATTCCAATGCCAATGGTTTTCAGGACTTCTAAACTGGCACCCACTTCTAAACTTATTCTATCTTTTGGGATTTGACGTACAATGCTTCAAGTGGCCAGCAATGCAAGCTTGGCAGGCAATGGGCATAGGTTATGCCTGTTGCCTTCTGTACTACTGGTGGCTGGTTATGAGCCAAGCCCCTGGCAATGAATGAGAGTTCAGGATGAAGGAGGGGAGGAGGGAGTTTGGCAGCTCTTCCCTCTCTTATTCTTTTCCCGCCACTCAAGAAGGGGGTCTGGAGCCTTCTCTTCCAGCCCAGGAGTTTGAGCTTTGGGATCCACAGTCAAGAGTGTCATAACTCACTTTTGCATCATGACCCACAGTTTGAGAACCACTGCAGTATGTGTTTTCTTGCTCATCAATGTTATTTTCTAGCAACTCTGTTGAAAGTACATGTAGATATAATAACCATTTGTGTTGGTCAGGTATTGGGTTAACACTGCTTTGGAGTCTGGTTCATACTGTTTCTTCTGCATGTTAAGTAGCCCACAGCCTCTCTCAACCTGCTGTGCATGCCAAAGATGGCATGAGGAATGTTACTGAAAACTGGTCTTTACACAGAAGGCACTAGTTTGAGTGATCATGGTGTCACCTATTCCAGCTACTGCTGAGCGCTGCAGGTTGTCTAGCCTAGACCACAGAACAAAGACTGAGCCCAGTGGCACCTTTAAGACCAACAAAGTTTTATTCTGGGTATAACATGCATGTGCATGCACATGCACACACACACACACGAAAGCTTATACCCAGAATAAAACTTTGTTGGTCTTAAAGGTGCTACTGGGACTCAATCTTTGTTCTGCTGCTTCAGACCTAGAGATGTAAAATTTCCGGAAATTTTGAAGCTTGGGGAAAAACCTGGTTTTTTTCCGGAAAAAAAACGGAAATTTTCAGAAAAATTGAAAAAAATGCTACATTAGCATTTCTTTTGTCTTTTCTAGATTGAAAGTCATTCTGTTACTTTAGGAACATAAAATATGACTATGGACATTTTTACTTGGCATGAAATTATCACAACTAGCATATTAAAAATATAGTGTATCCAAACAATTATTACAAACAGAATACCCACCCACATGCAAAAACAAAACTGAAACTTTTTTATTTTCTTCTGACAATCGCACCTCCTAAAGGAAGAAATGCATCTTGTTCTTGCATTGGAGAGTTCAGTTTGTAACCTAGGACTTGCTTGTCCTCAGTGCACAGAAATTACATCAATCTGATACTCTATATATATATAATGATTTGGAAAATATGATGAAAATAAAACGTTCCATAATCAATTTATTTTATTTTATTTTTTCAATTTTTCCAATTTTTCGGAAAAAAACAAAAAGGCTTCAGGAAAAAAATGGAAAAAAACTTTCCCCCCCGAATTTTTCCGGTTTTTTTCCGGGCCTTCACATCTCTATTCAGACCAACGTGGCTACCCACCTAAGCCTAGACCACAGCAACATTCCCTGTGAATCTGTGGGCATGCGTAACAAACAGGAGAAACCAACTATGTGAACCATTTCAGGGGCTTAAACCCTCTGATGCCATAAAATGTATGTGTCTTTGTCCTCGCATTCTTACCTCTGTCCTACATTTTTTTAAACAAGGGAGTTTGTAACTGATTTCATAAAAAGAAACAGGAAAGATTAGTTCCGATACAGCTGACTTTCTGTGTTTTGAAGAAAATACTTCTTGAAAGCAGAATGTGCGAAAAAGAGACACCTACTCACACAGATGTTGCTGTCTTTCTCAGGTTCTTTTTACAAAGGAGCTCCACTATGGCTTGTTGTACACAGTAGAATGAGGTGCGAGAAGACTGATAGCCTCTTGACTTCAATGGACTTTAGAAGAGCAAAGTGTGCTTAGGAGCACACCGCAAAGCGTCGGAATGTCCTGTTTTTCATATCAGTCAAGTTACAAGTGATATGCCATTGCAGACCTCAGCTGAGCAAAGTGTTGACCTTTTTGTCTAATGTTTAACTTCTGTTAATTTCAGAGTTACTGTGTCAGGAATGCAGTTCCCTGGGTTTCATTGTAATTTGCAAAGCTACACTGGCAGCTCACTTTTAACCACCATGTACCCATGACCCAGCAAAACATAACTTATTTGCTTACCCTTTGCAGAATTGGATCTTCAATGGCTGGGGCAAGATTGAGCAAGTGGCTGAAATGAGTATGAACACTATTCTAGAAGAGATTCTGATTAAAAGATCGCAACAGAAGAAGAGGACATCTCCATTAAATTACAAAGAGAGACTTTTCGTGCTTACAAAATCCATGTTAGCGTATTATGAAGGTCGACCAGAGGTAGGAAGCTGAGTTTTATTTCACTGCCCTTTTGGTGGCTCCTTGAGAGAATATTTGCTTTTGTGGTTTTCTTTTGTTGTTCTGCTGAAACAATTTTGTTGTGTTGAACTTTCTTACTGATGGTGGAGATGTTATAATGACTGTATGCCATTGGTGGTGGAGGAGCTGCGGTGGCTCAAGTGGTTAAGACGCTGAACTGCAGGCTGTGGAAGGTCGGTAGTTCGGCAGTTCGAGACCCGAGTGCCGCATGACGGAGTGAGCTCCCGTCTCTGGTTCCAACTCCTGCCAACCTAGCAGTTCGAAAGCAAGAAATTGCAAGTAGATAAATAGGTACCGCTTCGGTGGGAAGGTAACAGCGTTCCGTGCGCCTTGGTGTTTAGTCATGCCAGCCACATGACCACGGAAACGTCTTCGGACAGCACTGGCTCTTTGGCTTGGAAACGGAGATGAGCATCGCAACCCTAGAGTCAGATTTGACTGCCTTTCGAGCAAGGGAAGCCTTTACCTTTAAACCTATGCCATTGGTTCTGGATGGGAGAAACACAAATCTTTATATCAGAAGCTCTCCTCTTTCCTAAAACAAATTGTGTGCATGTGTGTTAAGTGCTGTCAAATTGCTCCTGACTCATGGCGACCTAAGAATTAATGACCTCCCAAACATCTTATTGTTAAGAGCCTGGCCCAGGTCTTGCAAAAAGCCACTTTGGTGTAGTGGTTAAGTGTCCAGACTAATCTGGGAGAACCGGGTTTGATTCCCCACTCCTCCACTTGCACCTGCTGATGTGACCTTGGATCAGTCACAAGCTCTGGCACAGCTGTTCCTGAAAGAGCAGTTTGTGTCAGAGTTCTCTCAGCCCCACCCACCTCACAGGGTGTCTGTTGTGGGGAGGGGAAGGGAAAGGAGGTTGTAAGCCGCTCTGAGACTCCAAGTGAAGGGTGGGGTATAAATCCAATCTCCTCCTCCTCCTCCTCCTCTTCCTCTTCTTCTTTCTTATTCTTCTTTCTTATTCTTTCTTCTTCTTCTTCCTTGATTGAGTCAATCCATCTCATGTTGGGCCTTCCTGGTTCTCTTTTCCTGGTTCTTTCACCTTTTCCTAGCATTCTTGTCTTTTCCAGGGACTCTTGTCTTCTCGTAATGTGACCGAAGTACAATAATGTCACGTGTTGTCATCAATATGACGTTAAAAGAACAGTTTGCAGTACAGCATTTGTAGTAACTGGGCTGCAACTAATTTGCAGAGAAATAAAATGTAGTTTATGTTACATTTGTGTTTCATTTTCCAAAATATGCCAAATGGGGGTTCTTCTCTGATGCATCTGCATGCACGTGCTCGAACACAACCTCGAAATTGCTGTGACAGGCTGTGGTAAACATTATGGGCAATGTTCCCTCTAAGCTATGGAGTCCTGTGAGCAAAAATTCTACTTTGTGAGCTACTGGCATTAAAGTTGTGAGCAAGCCATTTGGCTACTGCATACATTAGTTTGCTCTGGAGCCATCCTTCCTGAGCTAAGACCGAAATGTGTGAGCTGGAGGCTAAAAAACTGTGAGCTAGCTCACACTAACTCAGCTTAGAGGGAACACTGATTACGGGTATCATCACATTTTTTCATATTTCCAGATGTGCATCCTCTGAGAACGAGCAGTAAGGCCGCGCCCCCCCTTCACATTATCTTCATAACATGGGAACTGCTCCTGTCGCACAGCCTTTTCTCATGTTGTTCAAGTAATGTCAGGAGCCCCAAGGCATACATACAGGAGGAATCCACTTTGTGGTCCTCCCCATACCAGTGCTGATCCAGTTTCGGGAGTGGAAAGACTGGTGTGGGAAGGAGCCGCTGCAACCTGGGTTTCTCCCATATAGCCTGGGGCTTCCTGATGTAACCTGAGCAGTGCGGGATGCAGCTGGGCTGGGGCAACTTCATGCTGCAAATGCAGTGTGTGAAGGAACCCTAGGAGCCTTTGGCTGCATTTCTAAGAACACTTTCCTGAGAGTAAGCCCCACTGAATAAAATGAGGCTTGCTTCTGAGTAGACCTGCTTAGGATTACTCCCTCTGGCTGTGGTAACACATACTAAATAATCCACTTGCATTTTCCAACTGGATTTTGCCAGTTCTCACAGTAAAATCCAGTTGGGAAGTGCACTGAAAGTGGATTATGTCGGGTGTGTGACCCTCAGCCTCAGTCTGGGAGCTTTGAGGTAAAGGGAACAGGAGCAGTGAAGCTTGACAAGGGGGAGTGACAGCTCAGACTGAAAGGCTGCCCTCACAGTTCAAGAACACAGAGATGCTAGAGGGCCCCTCAGAAGCGTTTGTGGGGTAGTGATTAGAAATCAGGGCTCTTTTTGTAGGAAAAGCCCAGCAGGAACTAATTAGCATAACAGGCCACACCCAACAGCAAAAATTCATTCGCATATTAGGCCACACCCCTGACAGCACAGCTCATTAGCATATTAGGCCGCACCCCCATGTTACCAGAAGTGTGGTCATCCAGCCACACCCACCTTTTGCTTCTTATTCTGTTTACTTTGTTTGTTGTCAAAACCCAGGGCTTTTTTGTAGCGGGAACTCCTTTGCCTAGAGGGCCAACAATTAAAACTTAATGTATCTAATGTAAAAATACATGTATTTATTAGTGAAGAATTAAAAAACATATAAGGACCCAATATTTTTTTAATTCTTTAATAAATACATGTATTTTTATATTACATACATTAAGTTTTAATTGTTGTCCCTCTACTCTGTTTGACTTAAACTCTTTAGGTTCTCAAACCCCTGCTTGCCATACAACTTGCTGGGTGGCTTTGGGCCAGTCACGCCCTCCCAGCCTAACCCACAAGATTGCCAAGTGGATAAAATGGAGACGGGGAGAACCATGTACCCTTCCCTGAGCTCCTGGGAGGAAAGGTAGCATAAAAATGCTCAAGATAGAGAACTAAAACAGAAGGAGGCCTCCAGTGTGAGATCAATATTAGGAAACGGTTTTGCCTGTTTGAAGGTTCGATACTTCTTTAGAAGCGATCATCTTGATTAAAGGTATACACGGGGGTGACATCAATGATTCAGTGCTTTATGATGAGAAAATGGGCTAATTGGAAGAAGAGTCCGTTGTGTGGGGCAGAGAGGAGGCTTCTTATTTTTGGTTGTGTTGTTTCGTGTTGTGAAACTGCTGCAAATGTGAGCTGGAATGCCGTTGTGTGCTTTCGCTGTGGGATTGTGCTGGGGAAGTAAATGGCTGCTTAAGATCTCACAGGGTTCTCTGGGGTCACGGTTCCAAGTGGTGTAATGGGCTAGAGTCCCAAGGTCAAGAGACTGGGAGCCATGAGGCAAGTAGGGGTTAGACACAAGTCCCCAGAGGAAGCAGGTGGCTGCTTGCCATGGGTAAGGAACATAATCAGATGTAGAAAAATAGCCAAGAGAAGAGCAATCTGATTGAAGCTTCAGTTGGTAGGCTTTGTTTGGAGGAATCCCCGAGTCTAATACTTTATAGATCCAGATGGAGTGGAAGCCACATGAGCTCCCTGGGTTACCTGCGTAGGTGCCGAATCTACTAGTTGGGCTTGTGTTGTTGTCCAGCTGGCATCTCTAAGAAGAACACGTCTTTAATTCTTTTTGCATACGTAGAGGCACAGGAAGACAGACCTGAAACAAGGGGCAATTTCTCACTAGAGCTGCCTTGCAGCGCAGCACCGTTTGCCCCAACACAAACATGTCAATTTCACACCCGGGGCTGCGGGGCTGCATTTGACCCGCGGCTTCGCCCGATTTCCTCCGCAGTTTCATGATCCTCAAAAACCAGGATCATGAAACTGCGGAGGAAATCGGGCGAAGCCACAAGTCAAAATGCAGCCCCGGAGCTTCGGGTGTGAAATTGACATGTTTGTGTCGGGGCAAACGGCGGCTGTGCTGCGAGGCAGCTCTAGTGAGAAATCGCCCCAGGAGTCTCAATTCAAAAATCCTGAGGTCTTACTAAAACCCTCCTAATTCCAAAGCTGTTTTGAATTGTAGTTGGAAGAATGACATGGAGTTTCTTTTTAAAAATTTTTACCAGAGCAGCTCATCTGATTTTGCCATGATTTATCGCACCGGTAAAGAAGATGGAGAATCCTATAGAAATTAATCTTTTCACAGTATACGTGGTAATACTGTGAAGGTGATCATTTGTATTTTGTTTTCTGAATTGTTACTAATTATTATTAAGAAAAGGTATAAGAGTTCACTGTATTTTGCTCTGGCTACTGCATGATGGTCGAAGGACTGAGTAGCCCAAAGATTTTAAGTTCACTGATTTTACCCTTGGGCTCCAGAATGGATTAGAAATGTCCCAATCCAGTAAGGGAGATATGTGCACAAAATCATTTTCTGTGCATAAAGCCTCGAAGACAACCCAGAAACCACAACTGGTCCAGAATGCAGCAGCCTGACTATTGTCAAGGGCTGGCTGGTGGGAACAAGTGTCGCCCATTTTGGAACAGCTCCATTGGCTGCCAGTCTGTTTCTGAATTCAATTCAGTCCATCTTTTGGCTATCCGACCACTTAGCGTGGCCCATCTGGTACTGACCAGAGCCTGGGTCTTTTCAGTCGTGGCTCTGGCTTTGTGGAATTGGCCACCTGAAGAGGTGAGGTGAGCCCATTCCTAGGAGGCCTTCAGGAGGTGTTGCCTGGCCTGCCTGTTTGACAGGGGTTTTGTGGGAGTCTGAATTGGCAGCCATCTTTTAAGGGGCGGAGGGGGGGGAGATTTGAGGTTTGCTTTTAAACTGAAAATGTTTTTGACTATTATCGTAAGCTGCCTTGAACCATGAGGAAAGGTGGAAGATACATGTTTTAATAAATAAATATAAAAACATTCATCTGGGTTCCATTCAACTGGGTGAAGGTGTCACCCCTATCCAAGACCACCGGTTCAAGAGCCCAACGACATGATATACTTTTCTTGTGTACATCCATGGGTCTCGTCCACAGATATGGTCTGGGGGTTTTGTGTTCAGAACTTCATTC